CGCGTGGCACGCGGTGTCACCTCCCCTACTCAGTGTCACACAGACCCCAGACCCACGCGTGGCACGCGTTGTCACCTCCCCCCCCGTCGCTGTCACACAGACCCCAGACTCACGCGTGTCATACGGTGTCACCTCCCCCCCTCCCCCCGTCACTGTCACACAGACCCCAGACCCACGCGTGTCACATCATGGGGCACCTCCCGCTGCAATATCACATGACCCCAGACCCACTCGTGTCCCCACTGGGCCACCCCCAGGTCCCGTCTGGGTCACCCTGCCCACGGGTCACCCCACGGGCCACCCGGGTGTCCCCAAGACCCTCTCGTGTCATCCCACGGCGCACCTTCGCCGGCCCCAGACCCACTCGTGTCCCCACCGGGCGCCTCTTCGAGCCCCTTCTGTGTCACCCTATTCACCTGTCACCTCCCTGGGGCACCTCCGTGCTCCCCAAACCCACGGGTGACACCCCACAGGTCCCTTCTGTGTCACCCTATTCACCTGTCACCCCCTGGGGCACCTCCGTGCTCCCCAAACCCACGGGTGTCACCCCACGGGGCACCCCTCGGGCCCTCAGGGTCATCCTTTATGTGTCACACCCCCAAAGCCACTCGTGTCACCCCTCGGGTCACCCCTTTCCGCGCCCCCAGACCCACGCGTGTCCCCACGGATCCCCCCAAACCCACTCGGGTCCCCCCCACGGACACCTCCCCGCGCCCCTCCGGGTCACCCCCCTTGGCTGTCACCTCCCCACGCCCCCAGCCCCACTCGCGTCACCCCACCAGGTCCCTCCCTCCCTCGCTGGGTGCCACCCTCCGTGTCCCCCGTGGCCCCGCAGCCCTCCCCGTCCACTCGTGTCCCTCGGGACCCCCCCGCCCGCTGCCCCCCCACGCTGGGGAGGGGACACGGAGCCCAAGGTCACGGTGGGCTCCGAGCCAGCCCGGCAAGGACGGGACGAGCCGGGCGGGCCCGCCCGGGGCCGGGGGGGACACGGGGACACGGCCGCGCTGTCCCCACCCGGGCGGGGCCGCGAGCAGCTCCCGCAATTCCAGCGTGGAAATTTAAAAAAAAAAATGCCCCAAAAAAGCCCCAAAAAAGCGAGATTTTCGGTGGGGGTTTGGGATTCCTAAAGGAAGGGAACGCGACAACAGCAAAGCTTTGCTCGGCCCCGCACACCGCCCCCTTCCCCACCCCCTCCCGCTCCGGGGGTCCCGTTCCGCGCTCGGCTCCTCGGGATTTCCCCTTTTCCCCCTTTTTTTACCCTTAAATAACCCCGGCTCAGCTCCTCGCCCGCCCCTCACCCTTCCCCCGCCCCCCGGGGGTGGGTTCTGGGTCATTAACGCCATTGAGCAGGTGGGGAAACTGAGGCACGACGGGGAAGAGCGGCGGGGGGTGGGGATTGAGGGGTCCCTAAAGCCCCAAGCGGAGTGGGGGGAGGGTTCAGGAGGTTTTTGGGGTGGGGTTTGGGGTGGGGTTTGGGGTGGGGGGGCCCGTCCCTGCCGTGCCCCAGCAGCCCCAGCTCCCGACTGCTTTCGCCCCCCCCCCCCCCCCCTCGGGCACGCCCCCCCCCCCCCCCCCCAATATGAACCCCCCCCCCGCCCCCCCCTGCACCGAGACCCCCCCC